TCTCTCTCTCTCTCTCTCTCTCTCTCTCTCTCTCTCTCTCTCTCTCTTACACACACACACATTACTTTCATACTTACATTTTTTCTAGATTTTCAGTTAAAATTGCTGTCGGATTATTATTTGAAGCACAAGATTTTTCAATTCTCCGTGCATCACTATTGCAATGATTTAACCCGAAATATTCTCAAATTTATTAGCATGTTTTTTTTGGCACGTTACCTTGGTAAAATTTATTTTAGCACTACGTGTTATCACTTCGTCTTTCCTATCATAACTGATTACCGCGTAAATCCGTGAGCAATGATTCCAAATGTGACAACTAAGATAAGTGACTAATTTTACTAGAAAAGTGAAGTTCAAACCGTTTCGTTTTCGACTGTACGTAAAATGAACGGCAACAAAGCATAAAAATATTTTTTTTCTAAACTCGTGAAAAGTTATGTTTAGAACAAATAGTTGCTTGTGTAACAATAGGAATCACGAGTTATTTTTCAAAATAACTAACGCGAGCAACAGTAAAAAGTTATTTTTGAAAAATGATTTTAATAAACCGAGAAAAACTTGAAGATTTATTTGTGAAATATAAAGCTTATTAGAAATAAACTTTATATTTCATAAATAATTTTCAAGTATTTTTTCTCAACGTAAATAGCCCACTAAAAGCTATTTTCAATAGTAGTTTATATTTAAATTTAAATCTTATTCTAACAGATATATATTTTTCTAACAGAAAAAACCGAGTCTGTTTCACACAATTACATGAAATCAGTACGTCAAAATTTATTTATTTAAAATTTCATATTTATTTTTATTTTAAATTTTAAATTTATTTTAAAAATCATTTATTTTAAATTTCATATTTTTACAGAAACAAATTTTACATTTTACGAGAGAGAGAAAAAAAGAAAGAGAAAGAGAGACAAATTTATTTTCTCTCTTTCTCTTTCTTTTTTTCTCTCTCTCGTAAAATGTAAAATTTGTTTCTGTAAAAATATGAAATTTAAAATAAATGATTTTTAAAATAAATTTAAAATTTAAAATAAAAATAAATATGAAATTTTAAATAAATAAATTTTGAAGTACTGATTTCATGTAATTGTGTGAAACAGACTCGGTTTTTTCATACATAGATACACAAAGAGAAATATCGTTGTCATGCAGCGAACACCTTAATTACAATAGAAAACTTTGAAACTTAAAATTGAAAATTTTGAAGATGAACTTAAAGCGAAGAATCGATTATACACATGTAACGCTGGTACAGCAAACGTGTAAAGCTTATACCTGCAATGTGCTCTTTACTTCCTGTTACTTGTTCTCTGTCTTTTTCTGACTTAAAACTTAAGGTTTGAATCGGAAACAGATAAAGAGAAAGAAATAGAAAACAAAGAACATATTGTAGATCAAGCTTTAAAGCATAAATCTGTCCGTTTTCGAAAAACTTCTGAAGTAGTGCGACAAGTTAGAGGGAAACATATATTTTCTTTCACTCTACTTATTGCACTAATCAGTTCGAAAATTTTAAAACAAACAGATCTATGTATGGACGCGTTCGGAAACGTCACCCGCGTGTACTCGCTGCATTGGAGTGAGAGAAATACGAGACCCAGACAGCACACAATATTTACAAAATATTTTAGAAATATAGATATTAAATATTTTATAAATATTCAAATATCCGAAATTTTTACAGGTATAAAAAAAATTACAATAAATATTTAAAAATATTTATGAAAAACATTTTTCATAACTACTTTTATGAAAAAGATTATGATTTATGAAAGAGATTTGTGATAAATATTTTTCATAAATATTTATCATAATCTTTTTCATACCTGAAAATCTCGTGCACATTAGAATATTTATAAAATATTTAATATCTATATTTCTAAAATATTTTGTAAATATTGTGTGCTGTCTGGGGAGTGAGATAAAAAAAGAGGAAGAGTACCGTATAGACTACTATAGACATAGAGTACTATATATAAAACCATTATATATGACACCCGGTGTACGACAAAAGCGAATCAACCGACTAGACGTTCTCCTATTTCTTCCTTTTTCACTACGAGCGATCTCCTTTTCAGAGCAAAAGTGTGCTTTCGAGGACAGCCCTAATAAGGACGATCCACTCGCGAGAGGACGATTTATTATTGGCGAGAATGATACGGTATACTCACCGCAGTCCATGTATGCGTAGCCGACGCATGATGAGTAACAAGAACATAAAACGGCGCAAAAGAGGACTGATGCAATCGCTCGGATCATTGTCGACGCTGCTTCTACGGCTTCCGTACAACAACTAATCAGCCGTCTCGAAGCACGCCACTGCGTCTCTCTCTCTCTCTCTCTCTCTCTCTCTCTCTCTCTCTCTCTCTCTCCCCC